GATCCGAACCCCACATCTAGCACTGTTGGCTCGAGATCTAAGCACCAGTGGAACGCTGTCGTCGGCTTGCAACGCGTTCGTACATGCGTTAGGAAGTGAGCATGTACTTCCTGGTGCAGTGGGTGTGTGCTCTGTTGCGTAAGCGCTTCATTTTACATGAGTGCGCGCGCGCTGCTCGTACGGCTTTGACTTGTATCTGTGCGTGTGAGCGCGTCGTTCGTGCGAGCACTGTACCTCTGCGTGCCACTAAGTACCAGGGCTCAGCGCTAGAGCAGCCGCGGCTGGGGTGGCGGCCGCGGGAGACTGCGACGCCCGACGGGCGCTCAGGAGGGCAACACGAGGCGACCGCGGCGCGCCCGAGCTGGCACGGGCCGTCAATTCGGCTGACGAATGCGGCTCCGGGGCGCTCGGGCCGCCGCGCATGACGGACGCCCTGCCGCCGCGCCTGTCACAGCTGGTGACGCATTGACGGCACACGCCGTCGTGCAAACTCATAAGCGACGAACGGAGAATGGTGGCCAGTCACGGCAGACCCGGCTTCCCTGCGGCCAGATGCTCACGGCATTCTGGCGGACAGCCCAACTCTTCGGAGTCGGGTTCTTGAGCTGGGATGTTGTTTCAAGTCGGTGGCGTGACAAGTGATATGCGACCTGTCACTGCATCCCACAATAAGTCGAATAACGGCTGCGTTTATGTTGTTTGTTTTGTGCCAGAAATCCCCACCAGTCCCAATCTGGCTGGGTTTAGGCAAACTGCGGCGAACAGCACAGCCACGGAGCATGTCATCACAATCAGATAGTCATGCTCTGTTCAGAACCGTCCTTTTGAGATTGCACATCCGAGCACTTAAAGCTGTGAACCACGTTTCAGATTCCATGCGATTCTTCTTTTTTCACAAGATGTCCCTGGTAGACAATACGCATGTTACCCATGCGTCGGACGGTCCTGGATTGCTATGCCCTATTATGCACTATCATTGACTATTCCGACCAGAGGTATGCCATGCCTCCGGTCATGTCGGCTGAGATAGCGGCGCGCTTCGGTGCATTGGGGAGGTTTTGCTACCAGGCGGAAGAGAAAATGAATCATGACAAGTGTGTCGGATGCTCGCGCTGTTTGAACTTTCAGGACGGGGAGGTTGCAAATGGTGCTGAAGCACTGCAGGTAAACCCTGCACCGCTGAGTGCAGCTGGGCTGGACACCGCATTCTGGGGCGGCTGCACAAGCGTGTGTTACTAGGAATACTGTGTACTGTTGGTGGTGCCTCACCGTGTTTTACGTGTCTAAACCGTGTATTTTTATCCCAGTGTGCCCTAGTGTATAGTGCATAATGTATAATGCATCATGACTGTATCCCATTTGGTGATAGCCTCCGTCCCCGCAAACACTCAATGCTTGGAATTCAGAACAATACAATGGCACGACACATCCCCTTTGCATTGGGATGTTGAAGTCGAGGAGGGCATTGCCAACAACTTCGAGAGGCAGATTTCGCGAACTCAGAAAAGGTCAACTCAGGTCACCCCATGTCACTGCATTTTTGTCACTTACCTCGGTCGACTTTCGAAATGGCAATCATCTTATGAAAGGCAGTGCCGCTGTAGATCTACACAGATGTTGAATCCATCTGTTTCCTCCAATGTCCTACGTTGCCATGAACCCTGCTTCCTGGCGTCATTACTGCATTACTGCATTACTTACTGCGTGCCATTGCACGGCCAGCTTTTATGTTGCTTTGGTTTCGTAAAGAATGGCTCATTTGGAACTGAAAGCTTTAAATGCATCGAATTAGGTATGTCTGCTGAAAGCTAAGAAAATCGATTGATTGTGCGAACAAAATTCGAAGCAATGAGAGGTGCTATCCGCCTTGCAATATTGAGGGTTAATCGGTGTAATCCAACATCCGTTGCGTTGCACATTTGTCAGTAGGAAGTCTGAGACGCGGTATGTGTTATCGATTTGCACCTACATATGATAATTGAATTTTACAAGAACAGAGAACGAAATGGCAGACTCAAGTGTAACGGGACAACATCGCATGCAATGAATGTCATTGTATGATACAACGCCCGAATACCTGACGAATAATCGTGTGAATATCTCCTAGCGTCGTTTTACGCTAAAATACGTTTCACGCCTAACATGATAATTCAATTTTAATTCACATGAGGTGCACTGGAAAACATGTTGTAAGTATATTGTAAAAGCATGCTGTGTGTTTCCCAGTGAGGCATATATATATATATATATATATATATATATATATATATGCTTAAGAGGATTACACCATATTACAACTACAAATACTGAGCTAAAAATTACCGGGGTTAATTTTTGCAACATGACATGCAATTCTTTCGATGCATGTCAAACTGCGGATTACGCATTGGGTGATGATTGCAACCTGCACTGTATGTGTTCTGCTTGTAAAGTGCACTCGATCGTGCTGTATGCACATTTGGGTCTAACTCATATTCGTTTACAGCCGGTTGCTGCTCATTACATTGCAAGCGTGACCGGCTCTGTTTTTATTTTAAGTTTTTAAAGCAATATAATCGCATCCTCCGTTTCAATTGTGCATCATGACGGGCGGGGTATTGTGATACATTATTTGGTATGACTGAAAACCCGGTTCCTTTAAAACAAAGGTGATTTTATACGGTCCGGTGGTGTTTAACTGGACGAAATCTGTTTATCGCAACCCTGATTTGAACCGAAAATAAAAATAGTCAAATCTGTAAGTGTTTATCCCCTCCTTGTCGAGAAATGAATGGTGACTTCGGGCTGAGTGTTTTTTTTTTAGAATATGTGACTGGTTATACACGTACACCCATTTCAGCTGGATCATTCACCATCTTCCCCACGGCGGCAAGCCCGGCGCCCGACCGCCGGAGCGGGCACGGGTGGCCACTGAGCGCGGCGGTCTCTAACGGAATTATTTCGTGGGGGTATGCCCGGCGCCCGACCGCCGGAGCGTTCAAGGGTGGCCACTGAGCGCGGCGGTCTCTAGCGGAATTATTTGGTGGGGGTATGCCCGGCGCCCGGCCGCCGGAGCGGGCACGGGTGGCCACTGAGCGCGACGGTCTCTAGCAGAATTATTTGGTGGGGGGTGTGCATGGCGCACGACCGCCGGAGCGGGCACGGGTGGCCACTGAGCGCGACGGTCTCTAACGGAATTATTTGGTGGGGGGTATGCCTGGCGCCCGACCGCCGGGGCGGGCACGGGTGGCCACTGGGCGCGGCGGTCTCTAACGGAATTAATTGGTGGGGGTATTGACGTCATACCTTGTCTATTATGCATCATTTAACGTGTAATTTACAATGTCCACTTACATCGAACAGAACAGTTAGATTCTACGATCCTGCAATGGTCAACGGGTGCACAGAATTACCGTATTCGGAAGGCCGCATGACTCAATGAGTTCTTATGTTGGGTTAATGGCCTTCATTAACTCGACAGTCCTAAATACTTCAAGCTGTGTTCACCTTTAGGAGTGACAAGTGCCTAGAGAGTTTCAGCAAATACACCTGAAAACAAACACGTGACACCAGAAAACATTTTCAATGTGCGCAGACACTGCCGCTAAAAGACGTCAAAAAGGTAAATCGCCAAAGCTGTCATCTCCACGTGTACAGTCAACATCAAAAGTTGAAAGAAAACGCAGACGGCTAAGCAGGTAGTTAACAAAGTCGGAGACAGATAATTAGGAAGCAACGTTGCTTACCGCGTATCAGCCACTGCGAACATTGCTTAAACGTCTGTAACGTGCAGGTAACCTAAAATGTTGTTTAAACTAGGTCTCATGATGAAGTTTGTACGTTCAGCCGGGGACAATGACTCCGGATGTGCAGCGATTCTACGATCTTTAGTTTTTCATTGTCGTTACCTGTTGCTAAACTTCATGTGTTTTCAAGTCGGCATTTGTTGCGCTATGCTCCATGCATGTCTACCGATCTACCATGTGTACTCCTTGTGGTGTACATGTTCTCCGCGAACCCGGTCTCCTTGGTGTTCATTAAGCCGTTCCCGATTGCTACGTTTTGTTTCTCCTACGCAAAGCATGTCCGAGCAAAGGTTAAAGGATATCTTGCATAGTATGCTATTGCGCATGTATTGAAAGTTATTCACC